GATTCGAACAAGGGCCCAAGGCTATGACGGCCGGTTTCCCAGCCACCAATAAGCATACTAAGAAGCCAGTTATCCAAAATTATATGACGTACTTCACTTTGGTTCATAATAAGCATTTTGTAATTAAAATCTGAAGTTCGGATAAACGCTAAATAGTTTTCTTGGCTATGAATGAAATCAGTTCCCGTAATAAATTAACAATACCTAAGAAATTAATTATGCAATGAAAATTTATAGAACATTCGGAAGTCACGAAGAAATGTATGAAGTTATCTATTCTGAACTGTTTTAAATTTTCACTTTACTTTACTTGAAATAAAATGACTTTACTTGAAATAAAATTACTTTACTTGAAATAAAATTACTTTACTTGAAATAAAATTACTTTACTTGAAATAAAATGTTATAGAAATTATTTCCAACAATATTATATTGATGACATTTTTTCTTTATAGAGTGCTCTGGATGAAATGAATCCTGCTTTTACGTAATAAGCAAATTTATAAGTCGCTGAACACTGGTAGTTCGATTCATGTCCAAATCCCGGTGAACTGGCATTTTCCCGACTTTCCGCATTTGTAATTTGAACGTAAGCCAGATTCCCGTAAAAGGTCCTCCACGAAGATATGTATTCCTTAGGTAGAAAGCCTTAGTGCGCTTTCTCATAGTCAAACAGGCCTGCCAGCAGCCGAGAGTCGCTTGAACACTGGTAGTTCGGTCCGAGGTTCGAATCCCGCGAAGGGGCTGGCTGCATGGGCGTTTTCGTGGTTTTCCCCGTGTGTAACGTGTATACGAGCCAGTTTCCCTTAGAAAGTCCTCCACGAAGGCATCCCTAGCCTTAGGTTTATAGCCCTTGAGGCTTTGCCATAATTACACAAACCAACCAACCATAATCAAACAAGCCCTCGAAATTAATCTCCACAGAAACAGATAAATTAGCGCTGTGCTACCAATCTGTCCAGAAATTTCAATTATATAAGACTGACTTAACTAAAGTAGGACTCACGATTTTACTTGTCAAATAATTTAAGAATCACAAAAATCAGAAATTATCAAAGCTAAAAAAGGTGCAAATAAAGAAGTACCATTTGAAAATTTAGTTTTAAAATAATCTACTTAAAAATAAAACTACTTAAAAAATACTTTAAAAAAAGGCCGCTTAAAGAATTTGACATTAATTCATTCCTTTAATCAAAATTTTTAAACGTTTACAGCTGAGAATATAAAGAGCAGTTTAATGCGAACTCTGTATAAAGCCAGAACTATTATAGTAATTTTGAAATTATTGGAAGGGTTGGGATTTTTTTTTTTTTTTTTTAAATATTGCTTTTCCCGGTACATGTGCGTATATGGAAACGCTGCAGTTCAATTTGCGCCATCTGCCGTACAAACGAAGAACTAAATACCTCTCCGGAAGTTGTGAGAAAAGCGATTATTTCTAACCGTTTTCTTTACATCTATTATTCTTTAACTCGGAATCCTACTCTTAAAATTAATTAAGAAATTATTCTTTAACATTGTAACGGACACATTCTAGACATGAAAACAAAGAAACCACTTATTCTTCTTATCAAGCAGCATGAGGGGTATCACTGAAAGAAAGAAGTAGAATGACTGTGTTATAGACTTGTTTTCTACTCTATTGTTTAAATGAATGCACGCGAGTACGTTAGATTTAGAACTTGATTATTATTTGTTTCAGGAATGATCATCACTTTTAATGTATACATTTGCCAAGAAAGATGTGTTCCAGATAAAGATTTCCGTTAGCGATTGGGTTATTATGTCACCGGAATAACATGTATTTGCTCTTACCTGTCTGGATTCCTTTAGTCAATGTTATCAAATAAGATCCCAACGTATTTTATTTTCTTCATTGTTCTTTTAATTGGAGAACTTTAAACTTATCCTGTTCAAAATTATTCTTTTAGTTTACTTTTTTCGCTTAATACAATAGTAATAAATTTAAAATGCCCGTTTTTCCCGTTAATACAGCAAAAATTTTACTATTAAAATAATAAAAATATGCTGAATTTTTTTTTTTTTTTTTTTTTTTTTTTTTTTTTTGAATATTCAAAGTCTGTATTTCGAATTTTTCTCTGAATTTCACTCAACGAAAACTTTCAGGAATCAAAACCATAGATGCTTTGAAGGCATTCATGAGTGCTATTTTATGTAAATATACTCCAGTAAATCTAAAAGAATTTTCATCCGTTCTAAATAAAATCTTCTTTTGCTTAAACACTGTGCAGTAATCCTACGTTATAAATAAGCGATGTGAAATCACGTTTATTAACATCGCATTGCTTAATATAGCAACAGTGCTCAGCTAAAAAGCAAAAGTTAAAATAAAGTGAAATTTCAGTGAGTTCTAGCAAATATCTATTTTAAAATATGTGAGTTGACTCATTTCTCCCTTTTTTCTACACTTTTTAATTACTTAATAACTAGCATAATAGGAAATTCGTTTTAAAAATGTCCTACTAGCATAAAAATCTTGACATCTAAATAAATTTGAAACTGCTATTAAATTGGTACTTATGTAAGCAGTAATTTTTCAATTTTAGTTTCATATTCAGTTTACACAAAACTTCCCTTTCAAAAATTATGATCGGTGCCACAATAATAATACACATATGAAATAATATAATGCACGTAAGTGTTAAATAGAAAAATTTATGTTGGTGTTTTAATACTTTTTTAAAACTTTAAACTGAAACTAATTCATGGTGCCGGACAAAAATTATATATATATAAAAAAAAAAATCAAATAATTCAAAATCTAAATCTAATTCATAATATTCATATATCATTTCGTCATTCTTATAAACATTCGTATATCAGGACTATGACATTCAAAGATAGATCACTCTGGTTCTATGTTTGAATTCAAAGAAGCAGATCACTCTGGCCAGCCTACTGATGTTGATAAGGCGCACTTGCGAGAACTTATGGAAGAAGATCAGTAAGCAACCACTCGAGAGCTTGCTAAAGAGTTAGACATTAGTGCCATTGCACTATGCATCGCATGAACTGATTCAAGCAGATTAAGGACAGATGTGTTCGGGCCTGCACTAATCTGCTTAAATATTAATGCAAAGATAAAATTCTGGACTGGATCATTACTTGTGATGAAAAATGGATTTACTTCAACAACACAGGCCGAAAAATAGGTTTGCGTTGTGAGTAACCTATGCCAAGGAAAATCAATAACTCCAAATTCAATTAAACTCTCCATGTTTCTTAAAAGCCTCCGGCTCAAACAAATGGAGGGACATGACAGACCACAGTAAAATATATACAACATAAATACACAAATACAATCAAATTTTAAACACACATATATTAAATTCTTGACTATTTTAATTAAATAATGGATAACTGATCAGTAATCCTACCACATATTTTTCTAAGCCAAAATAACACATACTACTACACCAAATATATACTTAAAAATTTCACTTACTGATGGAAAACAGTTTTTCCTGATTAGAAGATCCTTAGTGTCCAATCCACATGGAAATGAGCCAAGCCCATTTTTCTTTCTGTGACAACCCTTTCGGAAACGTCTAAAAATCATTAGGGATCAAGAGTGGAAATTACAGTCCAATAATTCTTCAAACAGCTAGGAATCGCTTTATCTGTCCATTAGGTGGGAACCAATAGTCCAACTTAGAAGGATCTTTATCTGTCCATTAGGTGGGAACCAATAGTCCAATTCAGAAGTATCTTTATCTGTCCATTAGGTGGGAACCAATAGTCCAATTTAGAAGGATCTTTATTTCAATTGAATAACAGATAGCTGAATATACTCCAGTTTTTTAGCACAATCACGTGCATCATCAAAGCGGCAAATCAACATTTTATGCTGAATATTTCGGGAAAAAAACTCTTGGAGACAAACCGGCGATTCAGGTGAAGAGAGAAAATCTGTGCTCAATTTTCTTGGTAGATTTTTCTCTATACATCTCAATCAGCTCTCAGTAAAAATGCTCTTTGCAGCTCGCGCACATTTCTTTAGACATCTCGCAGGAAAATGTTCCTTGCATCTCGCACAAAACTTTTAAATATCCCGCAGAAAAGGAATGCATTCCTAGATCAAAGAAAAACGGTACCCCGTCCCTCTTGCTCAGGAAGCCCGCAGCACAGCAAAGTGCCCCACGATCTTTCTTTCTCCTTCACATCGCGGCTGCTCAAAATTCACTCAAATCAGACTCCGCTACAGCCATCACCACCGCAGCCCGCTAGTACAAATCGCTCGCCCCGCACAACTTTCTGCTTCTCCTTTTCCCTTTCGCTCAAAAATCTCAATCAGAATGATTTCTAGCCTGGTGCAAGCACCCAGGAAATCTCGGTTTCTCCGCCTCTGTAAGTTCATAGGCTTTCAAAAAATCATAAAATTAAATCTTACCAATTCCGGAATTTTATGTTATCTAAATTGAGAAAATGACACACCCGTGACGAATCAAACACCAGAAAATCTGACAATGCAATCCGAAAAACATCTGTACACATAACGTGAGAAAAAGTAGACCCTCCAACTAACAAGCGGAAAATAAGCTCCACGAGAATCCAATTACCCAAGGTTAGTTTACCACCCACTGTCTTGAAGTAAGAAAACTGCAACCTTAACAAAGCGACAAGAAAGCGATTTCCGTTTCACACGCCAAGAGTTAAAAGGGTGACACACTACTCCCAACTGCCTCCACTGTTGAAAAAAGCCATAAACCAGATGGCTCCCGCAAAGTTTCCCGCCTTAGTTACAATTCCTACTCAAGAACAACAAGTTAAACAACACCTTAAGAGCCTAAGAATACTTTTTTCCAGATTAAAATACACATGAATACAAATAAAAATATTAGAATAATAATGACTTGAAACACATATTAATAATTGAATTTCGCGACATAACATAAGCAAATAAAATATTTATTTTAAAAGTGATAGAAATGTCCTTCATTAAGTTTTCATAATCTCTTTCTAGAAGGACTACAACTTACCAGCTGCTAATTTTTGAGTACACGGCATATTCCAATCAAAGATGAACTATTCAAAGCTCTAGAAAAAGTAGAAAATAGAAAAAAAAAACTATTATAAAATGCTTATTTAACATCATGGTTTTAGTTAATACACATTCGGTTAAAATATTAATTATAACCTAACGTAGCTACTGCATAACAAACTCATAAATCCAGTTAACAATAACTGTAATATATACTTAATTAAATATAAAACTAAGTTTCATGCTACTATAAACGCAATTTTCTATAATAGCAACTTTATTTAACTATTATAAAAATGAACTTTCTCTGCAAAATAAATAAATTTAAAGCACAGAGTGAGAAGTAAAAATCGCTCAGTGTAATACACTGGAATGTTAAATTTAAGGAAAAGCTAGGATTTCATCTATGGCTTTTGTGCTGGAGAGAACACACAGAAGGTATCTAACCCTTTAACTGTCAAGTTATTTTGATGATTTGGGTACACAAATTGTCAAATTTTTTTTATTGCAAAAACCAAATGTTTAGTACAAAATAAAATATACTTAAGTAGTTAAAAACTGATATTTTGACGTACATGGGTAAAATTTTTAAAATTTTGTAGCCACTGCATATTTGCTTTGAGGCGGCTGCCACTCAACATGGCAGTTGCAAAGTTCGCTTCTAGTGGAGCATTATTTTCTAAAAATGAAAAAAAAAAAATTAATTATTTTCTAAAAATAAAACATAAATGAAAAAAATAATAAATAAAAGTGAATACCTATTAGTAGTTCAGTAATTTTCAGTCTTGTGTGGTACAACTGGAAACACTTTTCCAAGCACAAACCAACTCCACAATCACTACACCAGAATTGTGATTCCTTCCTTATCTTTTCCCCATTTTTATCCTTTTTCGAACAACACACTTTGCACTGTCTTGTAGGTTCACGTTTCGCAGGAGTAAGAGAAAAATGGGATATAAAATGTCGTTCAGTAAGACGGGCAGAGTTATCTATTGTAGGTGGTCTGCCAACATTCTTTTGTTCAGAAGCTGCATCATCATATTTATGTAAAAGCTCTTCTACAACTTGGATTCGAAATTCTAAAAATGTAATACTTTTCCCAACTACATTTTTATAGAGCAAATATGAGTTCCAGAGTACCTTGTCTAGTAAATGTAAAAATATCTTTTTTATAATATTTTTTCTGACGTTTTCGGATTGTTGGATGAAAGGATATTTCCTGATCACAGCGATCTACACCACCCATAGCTAGACCGTAATTAGAAACAATCTTCGGCTTGAGTATATCTCCATTTTTTATTTTTGAGGCTGACCATGGAAGTATCATGAATACTGCTCATCAAACACACATCCTTCACCTTCGGTTGAAGAATCTAAATCATCTATATAACGTTTCAAAGAACTGAAGGCTATTTTACAACAAAAAGACCCCATGCACTTTGAACCAAATAACCTCTAACCTTTGAAATCTTCAGTAAGGTCCTGTCATCTATTGAACTGAGCGCACATTAACTTTTCCCGAGATACAGACGGGTTTGACAAAGAGATGAAGCCGAAATAAACGTCTCCCGATATATATTCGGGATAACAATACGATGCACTCAAAAAAAATTATCCCGAGTAATACTCGGGCGTGACATTTTCGAACACCAGTGCTGTACCCGAGATTATCTCGGGCATGACAGTTAAAAGGCTAAGGAGAAACGGAAGAGAGGAGAAAATAGTATAAAAAGAGTTACATATAAAAAGAGTTACATATAAAGAGATTTTGCATGGAAGACTGTCTTGTACTGACTGACGTGATGCAGATGAATGAATGTAACGAATGAAATAAAAGTGCCCAATACAGTGTGTAATCAGCTCGAATGGAGAAGCAAGTTTGCATGGAATATTCATACTATCGAATGATGTTATTGATAAGCTCTTGAAGTAGTAGTTATCCATTTCCTTCTCAGTGAAATTTTCAAATATTCAATAACTGTTGAAAAAGGAGAATGTTAAACCATTCGAACAATGAAATTTTTAACAGCATATCAACAGAAAAGGGTGTACCGTAATGAAAGTCTTGCAGGCACGTTGAGTGGGAATATTTCATTAAATTAGCGTATGCAGCTTAAAATTCTCGCTTTCAGTATTTGCTATTATGTACATCTCTCCTACATAATGCATGCCCAGACGAGGTTACCTTGATCAAAAATACTGATCCTTTTCAACATTGTTTATTGGTTGACCACCCTCTCATCACATATCACTTAAGGCATTGAGACATGTCATCATTACACTGAGACATAAAAGTACACTACTCTCGTAATCAAGAAGTGCATTTCCTATAATTGCTGCCATCTATTCATTATATTCTTTATACCCTGTAATAATGACATCCATTGACAGATATGGAAGAAATGGAGAATTGGCAAACAGAAAAATATTAACTTTTATGGAACCATTTGGAAAAAAAAAACTACAATATCTGACGTCCAGGTTTTCTTACACAGATGATTTGTAATATCTTCAGCTACTTGGTATATATCTCTCTTGATTTTATGTAATAGTGGACGGCCAATGACGGCGGAACATTTGGACGAGTGTGAAGCACTGACAAATTTTTTCTTGTAGATTTCAGCGCTATTGGAAAGCAAGGAGTTTAATGGCCTAACGGCCAATGTAACTGGCATTTGACAAATAAATAAAATAAATATATCTCTCTTGATCTGTTAGACTGATAACATGAGTTTTGCTGTTGACGGGCTTATCACTGTTGATTTTTCCAACAGTTTCCTCTATTGTTCTAAAAAGTAGAATTTCCACCACACAATGTTTGAATGCTGTTTGTCTTATAAGCCACGCTTCTCATATTTCATCATTTCTCTTCATCGTTGTATCTCAAACGAAGGCGTCTAATTTTCCTCCAACAATTCTTTCGTTATCTGCAATACAGAATAAGATTCATGGATAATCTATCACAATAATTCGCATCGTTTGGAAATTTTAAAAGAATGCATAAACATCTCCACTGTTATCACTTGTCAAATGTCTGAAATTTGAATGAACCAGCTTACTTCTGACGATTTTTGGCCATTCATATAGCCATAACCTTCAAAATAATTCTACTTCTTAAGTTTTGCGTACTGAATATACTATATTAAGAAATCAGTTTGCAAACCGAGAACTATTCATTTTAGTATGAAACTCATTTAAGCACATTTTTATAATTATCTAAATTTGTTCCATAATTTCCAAGTTTACAATAATTGAGATGCATTTTATTCTAATCAACAGAAAAATAAATATAGTGTTATGAAAAATATAGCTAGCTTTCAAAGCGATCAAAAGTTAAATTTTCTATAAAATGGCCTATGTATTCTACCTTACTTAGCATATTCCATGACGCCGCCAAAATTTTATTTTAAAATGTTCTTTGGTATAAGTATAGCCTTATAAACTACTCTTTCATTTATCAATCACACAAACTTCATCTGACACAAACTTCTATCTAATATTCCACTTGAAACATTTCTTGAGCAAATTGCATTTTTTTCTATCATTATTCCACAACTTTTCATCGTTTTTATCTATAAAATGTTTGTCTTATCCTTCCTGAATCTTCTTACTGTCTTAAAAATGCAAACTGTTTTTTTTCTAGTCTTACGTCGTTTGAGCAAAGTCATTCTTTATCTTAAAGTATTTCATATTCTGTGCTGAAGTACCTGTCAACTGTTTAGGTACCTTCTTATAAATTTTTCTCTACCTTTCTTATAAATGAATCACACATAAATTATGTAGGCTGAAGTAGGCGCATGAATTGCATGATCATTCACAAAATACGATAGCCGCTTCATTTAATGTAGCAATCGTATTCTATTCTTGTTTAAATTCGTTTTATATAGAGAATTAATGGAGGAATTAAAAATATATTCCAATAATACAGCCGTTTTGAGTTTCCTTTAAATAATCCTGAAGATTATCTTTTTACTTTATTTTACTAATGTTACTATAATCTTAGTATCATTTATCCTACTGAATTCGGAAATTTATAGTGTAATAATAATATTCGGCATTTATTTCGGGTTTTAATAAAATCGCAGAAAAATGAAATATATAGGCAATTGCTATTTCTCGTACACTGTACCGAATATAACTGAATTTTTCCTTCTGAAAATAAAACTTACTTTAAACGAGTCATTTAACGTTTAATTTATGCTTTACAAGAATTCCACCCTCTCGAGTAGGTTCTGCCAACCACAGTTCCATATAATAAGGACAAGACAACAACGAGGAAAAATTTTTCTTACACAATACACAGGTCATTTAATTATTTTTCTTGTAGAATATTTTCAACATGCCAAACTCATAAATGTGAGACATTCCTATGCACAGACATTTTAGATAATGTTGCAATTTAATTCCTTGAATGGAAGCTTAGAGTGTGTCATGTTATAATTTATAAAGTTCTAATTAATTAACGTGCCCTTGGCTTGAGAACTTTAGTGAAGTGTCTAACGATTATTTAACTATTCGCTGTCTTCTTACAAGTCCAAAGAAGGGTTAAAATACCCTTTTATTCACTCAACGAAATATTACAGACGGCCCCTCTCAGGCTTACAGGATAGCACTCAATTGGGCTTTAGGTTAAGATAGAAAATAAGGAATTCAACTAGTAAGATAGGTTTAATGAAACGAAGTTGGCCCAAAAGCAGAACACGCTTTACTGAGAACTTCTGAGCTCTTCTACGGAAGTTACTGAACTTCCCATTACTGGTTCTACTTTACATAAAACGTTCTCATTTATATAAAACGCGATACTGAAATCTCATTCTGGCAAGGAGTTGTAGGTTGAAAACAAGAATTTAAAGGAAACGGCTTCAAAATTAAAAATAACTGTAAGAAAATTAAAAGAATCTAAAATGATCCCTAAAAATTAAAATAAATTAATGCAAATATTTGATTATGATTTAGCTAATATGTGCCTAAATTTCGGGTTGATAATAACAGGTATTTGGACATGGAATAAATATGTTAGTCTTTCAGAAGAACAAGAGAGAATTCTAAAATATAA